GTGTCTTTTAACATATCGAGAAAAAAACTGTCACGCTCGAATGTCAGTGTCGATAGTTACTCATTTTCTTCCGATATGGCACAAAGTTTGAAAGATGAATTTGGCAGCAACAGCCTCGAGATCGCATTAATATTCTATTGTTGGCTTAATCTGACTCTTGTAAACGTAGAATATAATAGATGTCATATAAAAAATCTGCTCCCTTTTAATAGTCTAGTAGGGACATTTTTGTCTTCCACCAGCATGGCTGATGCTAACTTCAAAGAGAGTGAGTCCTTGCGGATTCTCGGGCTAAGGTTTTCCGCAGGAAGTGGAAAGATTATATCCAATCAATTGCTAGGTCAGATGCTAAGAAATTCGGTTCACGATATAATAGCTTTTCTCGTCAGAATCTATCTTACACATTTCTAAGTCTACTATTCGTTTATATATTGAATATCGTTGCCTCATCTAGTCTGGCGCTTCCATATATATGGAGATTCTTGATAAAATACAAAGGCGAATCTGCATTGTTATTGGTCCTGACCTGGCATCGCGGCTTCATTCACTTTCCCACCGTGTTATCGTAGCTTTCCTTTGACTTTTCTATGAATATTTTCACGATAATTGTTCTGTTGAGCTTGCCTCTTAGGTACACAGACTTTATGAATTGAAGCCTACTACTAGATTGGATGCTATGTCTTGTCATCTTACAATTATAAAGCTAGTTGTAACCGTAAGTTCTATGCTAACAGTTTCTTATCTGACTTGTAGAACGTTTTTTTTCTGGATCCTTGCTTTCAAATCAACTTTGATCTTCTAAAAATTGAAATGCAATATCAATCGTTATCTTTTTGGGGATTAATTTCTGATCTTTTAATGTTTTTTTCTACTTAATAATGTTTTCTTTTTCCCATATTGTCCCGCATTCAGTAACTGTTTCAGCCTTAGTGGTTTCATTGTTTTGCTTGGCGTGAAACGATTAAAAAAGGATACAAGAGTTGCCCATTCCCCCAGCATCTTTAGTGATGGATTTTGTATAAGTATTTAAAGTGTGGATTGAACTTGAGTCCTGATAGAAGTTTATGGAACTAAACTACGTCCGTACCGGCGAAAAAAAAAATGATTCAATGAAATCGAGGTTACGAGCGTTGTTTCTTGAGTGCGTAGCTCACGGAAGAATCTTTGTTAACTGCGAGGTTGATTAGTTTGTTTGATTTGTTTTGTCTAACGGCACATCAACCTCAATGGGTCATTTAATGCCGACAACTTTTTTTTCCTGGTAATATTTTTGTTTTCTCAAAAATCTATTAGCGTTAATATTTTTTTCCTAAAAAATGTATAGCTCGTAATATTATTTTTCCAAAAACGTATAGCTGGTAATATTATTTTTTTCAAAAATGTATTGCTGGTAATAGTTTTTTCTTCAAAAACGTATTGCTGGTAATATTTTATAATGTTTTTTACCGTAGTTTCAGGGTTAACTATTTACCCATAACTGGGACCCTAACAGGTGCTATCAGCTCGGGTTAGGGTGAATCTGCGAACAACAGCAATTAAGAGGTGATTCCACGCTCCTCAAAACCTCCTGAGCAGAGGCTTTGCTGTTGGACGTAGTTTATCCTCTTACCCAGGACGCGGATGTAGTTTATCCTCTTACCCAGGACGCGGATGTAGTTTATCCTCTTACCCAGGACGCGGATGTAGTTTATCCTCTTACCCAGGACGCAGATGTAGTTTATCGTCATACCCAGGACTCGGATGTAGTTTATCGGTTTACTCAGGACTCGGATGTAGTTTATCGTCATACCCAGGACGGTGCGAGGTTGAGGATAATTATTTCCACGTTTTTATTTAACTCATTTAAAAATAGAAAGTTCAATTTGAGCTTTTCATTCTGATCCAATGGATAAAAGTGTCTGATACATGATTATTTCTACGATTTTTTTTCTGCTCTTTTTTTTTCCATTATCGGTAATTTTTTATATTTTGTCTTGAAAGATATTTTAGCCGACCGTGTCAACATTCGGCTTAAGTGGTAACTATTCGTTTCGCAACTTAACTAGCGGATATTGACCAATCAAAACTAAGCAAGCGTGTGTCTTTGACTTATTTGGCCAATTCTGATTAGTATTTCGATCCACCATACGGACATAAACATTTTTTATTGCGTTATTTTCTTTTAGTATTCTTCAAGCAATTGTCTTTATTATATCGTGACTGACTTTCCAGTTGTCGAGTAACATTATTCATTGTTTTTTGGGTTTTTTTTTTCATTTTGCACTGCTAGCGTTGTTTCTTTTTTTTAATAACTTTTGTTTTTGTGTTTCATTTAAGAAAAGATTAGAAAGAATCAAACTGTCCTTATATTTCGAGGCATGGGTTATTTTTGGCCCACATCCGTAGATTATTAAACACGATTTCTGCTCTTCACTTTGAGTCATTTGACTTTGACTTATTTTTTTAGTCTTTTTTTACTTGCTTTCTCTTTTTCTTTTTCCTTATCATTTCGTATTCTCTCTCTTTCTCCTTCATATTTTTTTCATATTTTTCGTTCTATCTCCTTTACTCCCAAAAGATATTTTCTTCATTTTTTATTCTGAGAATCACATACCGCTTTACATCATGTCTCAACATTTTAGTGTCTACTTCTTCTCTTCCATCCTCCTCTATTTCTTTCTCAAAATCCCCCTTTACTTGTGGTACTTTATTAAATGAAGCATTATCAAGGACTATTTATTATTATTATCATTATTATTATTATTATTATTATTATTATTATTATTATTAGGATTTAATTCGTCTTAATTTTACCGAGTTCAAATTCTGACAGCACCTGTTGCAGTAACTACATCATTTTTGGCTGTTCAAGGTGGAAACTTTTGTGATGTCAACGAACACTCTTTGCCAATTTTGTGATGTCAACGAATACTCGTTGTCACTTCCATAATGCTCGTTTGTAATCGCAGATAAAATACAGCAACGCCGTTGAACAATACTGGCGTCAGACGTCTTCGAATAGCATTCGCACTAAGAGCACTTGCTCGATAATACTCGCTCTAAAAGTAACCATCGAATTGGGATCAGTATAGTGAAATAGTATAGAAAATAACAAACCGTAAAGTAATATAGGATAGTGGGTGTAGAGAGAGAGAGAGAGAGAGAGAGAGAGAGAGAGAGAGACAAACAAAGACAGAGAGAGAAGAATCAAATAATGTTTTATACAATTTTATTTCCGAACACAAGTAGCAGAATTCTCCGATTACCGATGTCTGAGGAGATGCCAAGTGTTTTGTTTTTGTTTTTATTATTATTATTATTATTATTATTATTATTATTATTACACTACTTACATTATTGGAACTATTGCCCTCATCTTTGTCCCCATGTTTATCACAACGTTTCTGCCGGTGGATCTCAAGGAAACATGGCACAGTGGATAGAGGCGTTAGTTAGATCCAGTGACAGGACCCAAAAGAGTGTGAGTTCAAGACCTGGCTAAGGCAGTAGAGAACTTTCGGAGGGAAATTAACAGGAGATAACTGACATCCATTAGACATGGTACGTGGAACTAGAACAGTCAACCTCAGTGAGCGAAATAAAGGGTTCAGTTCGACGTTCCAACCACCTGAACAATTCCGGAGCGTACAACGGCCGAATCGTTGTGATAAACATGGCGACAAAGATGAGGACAATAATTCGAATAATGTAAATAGTGTACATAATACCTCATCTCAGAAATATAGACAAATACTAAAGGGTGGAAACGTTGTAATAAATATGGCGAAAAAAACGAAGACAATAGTCTGAATAATGTAAATAGTGTACATAATACATCATGTCAGAAATATAGACAGATACTAAAGGGCCGAAACTTTGTAATAAATATGGTGACAAAAATGAAGACAATAGTCCGAATAATGTAAATAGTGTACATAATACCTCATCTCAGAAATATAGACAGATACTAAAGGGCCGAAACTTTGTATTAAATATGGCGACAAAGATGAAGACAATAGTCCATATAATGTAAATAGTGTACATAATACCTCATCTCAGAAATATAGACAGATACATTTTTTTTTACCTGCCTTAATCTACAGAATTGATAAAAAAAACTGTCTCTCCGACCACCCTCGGATCACACTATCTTTTATCTCACAAAGGCGGAACATAGGCTCGAGCCATGTTTCCATTATTGTCTCCCGAATTCAAAGGACTGTAGACATACTTTTCACTGCTTAAAATATATCAAAGCGTTTACTAATATATGGATATCACCAAAATATCTTTTGGAGTGCAAGGAAAGACTTATTGATAGTCTAAAGATCCAAATGTTTTGAGTAAAATGTTAACTTAATGGAATACAATTGAAAAAAAAAAACTGGGAGAAATTTAATATATGTTTACCTCACAAATCTGAAACCACTGCAATGAAGAAGAAAAAAATTGTTCCATGTTTTGCTTTTCTGTTTTAGATTTAATGAAAACGCAAATGTCAAGAATTCATTTAAGTTTTATTTCTGGATAGAATATTTTGAAATAAATTTAATTTTAACACATTTCGTGTTGTCAACCAGTAAGAATATATATATATATATATATATATATATATATATATATATATATATATAGTTCTCATCATATTTTTTTTATTATTCGCTTTTGTTATGAACACTAGCGTAAAACGCGATTATAAGTTTCTTGGAAAATGTCTTATGCTAAGAAGAGGGCGAATTTTGAACAGATTCTATAAGAATTAAGGAATGGGAAAATTATAGAAATTTCATCGAAATTTTATGCAGGCATAATAAAATGCAAATTGGAATTTGGAAAAATGTCAAAGGAAGTTTAATTCGAGAACTGGTTATTGTGAATGAAATCTGCGACGGAGACAAGAAAGAAGAATAAATGTAATAAAAATATAAACAGAAAAAGAGGAAAGAGAAAAAAAATTGGAATGTACACAGTAGATAGATAGACAGTCATACGGAGAGAAAACGACAGAGGGATTAATAGACTCAGATAAATGATAGATACATAAGGAACGAGAGAGACAGAGGGAAAGAAATAATATAGATAGATAGATAGATAGATAGAAACGAGAGAGAGAAATAAATAATAGCGATAGATAGATAGATAGATAGATAGATAGATAACGAGAAAAAGAAATAATAGCGATAGATAGATAGATAGATAGAAACGAGAGAGAGAAAGAAATAATAACGATAGTGTTGTGTATGATACACCTAATTTACATAAGCGGACTACCGATCATATAAATATGGGTTGGTACCGGAAGACGGGGAAGATAGTAGAGATTAAGAAATTGAATCCAGAGACTCTGCCCGACTGCGATTTAGTCAACCCATTATGCAGGAACAGTCTTCCCAAGAATATACCAAACTAACTGTAAATATTGTGTACCTATTCTTTGTTTCAATACATTTTGTTAACGTACATTTTGTGTTGTATTATTCCATGCTTATTTAAGCTTCAACAGATAGATAGATAGATAGATAGATAGATAGATAACGAGAGACGGAAAATGAAATAATAGCCAGATAGATAGATAGATAGATAGATAGATAACGAGGGAGAGAAAAAATAATAGTCATAGATAGATAGATAGATAGATAGATAGAGAACGAGAAAAAGAAATAATAGCTATATATATATATATATATATATATATATATATATATAGAGAGAGAGAGAGAGAGAGAGAGAGAGAGAGAGAGAGATAGATAGATAGATAGATAGGGAACGAAAAAGAAAAAGAAATAATAGACTTAGTGTGTTGGTATGTAAAATTAGATTGTATATAATTGGGAAAATTTCTACCCTCGTGAAGGGAGTTTCTTTGACTATACTGCATACTTGTGAGAACCGTGCATGGCGCAACAACATGGCGTCGACGATAGGATCGTCTAACCTTGTTAGAGGATCCTGAACTTGTTTAGAATTTGATAAGATGTTTCGCGGCGTTGGTGAGAGTCAAGAAATTGAGTGACAGCAAAATTAGAGGAGGAGTAAATGAAATAACGGATTTATTTCTAGCATCATTACGTTGTGAGGCCGTAAAAAAGATTTCCGTAATGTTATATCCGAAGATGTTAGAAGACTTTTCAATTGAAGAATTTGCGAACATTGTACAAGCAGATGTACGTCCAAAAAAAAAACTGGTTTTATCGGACAGGACCTAGATGAAGATATTAGACAGTATATCTACAGGCTAAAAAAAGCGTTGAGATTACTGGGAATTCGAAACGATGGGTACAGGGCTGATATCTTTAAAAGAGATATTAATACGGTTAAGGCTAACTAAAGGACTGTATAACGTCTCGAGTAAAGTACAACATTTTGGAAGAGCTTCAAGTCCAGAATATGAATATTGCAATGAGTTTTGGATTTTTTACATTTTTAATGTACATAATACCTCATCTCAAAAATATAGACAGATACTGAAAGGCCGAAACGTTGTAATAAATATGGCGATAAAGATGAGGACAATAGTCCGAATAATGTAAATAGTGTACATATTACCTCATCTCAGAAATATAGACAGATACTGAAAGGCCGAAATGTTGTAATAAATATGGCGACAAAGATGAAGACAATAGTCCGAATAATGTAAATAGTGTACATAATACCTCATCTCAAAAATATAGACAGATACTGAAAGGCCGAAACGTTGTAATAAATATGGCGACAAAGATGAGGACAATAGTCTGCATAATGTAAATAGTGTAAATAATACCTCATCTCAAAAATATAGACAGATACTGAAAGGCCGAAACGTTGTAATAAATATGGTGACAAAGATGAGGACAATAGTCCGAATAGTGTAAATAGTGTACATAATACCTCATCTCAAAAATATAGACAGATACTGAAAGGCCGAAACGTTGTAATAAATATGGCGATAAATATGAGGACAATAGTCCGAATAATGTAAATAGTGTACATATTACCTCATCTCAGAAATATAGACAGATACTGAAAGGCCGAAACTTTGTAATAAATATGGCGACAAAGATGAGGACAATAGTCCGAATAATGTAAATAGTGTACATAATACCTCATCTCAGGAATATAGACAGATACTGAACAAGGAATATTGGAGGTCAGCCAGGGAGGTAGCAGTTGATCTTCTCCAACCGTGATCACAGTCAAAACTAATGGAGATTTAACGATTTGTGGTGACTACAAAGTTTGTGTAAATCACAAGAGATGTTCAAACTCCTTCACATTTACAAATATTGAAATGGCCTTTCAGGAGTTTGCTGGCATGAATTTTTTTGCTAAGACTAATCTGGATTCTGCGTATAATCAGATTAAAATTGACGGCCATTTTCAAGAAGTCTCCACGATAAACACTCCTATAGGTCTTCTAAGGTGAACTTGTCTGACATTTGAAATTAAAACATCCAGACACATATTCTAAAAGTCTATTGTGTAAAAATCTTTATTTACTATCAGGATGATATAGGCATTGGAAGAGATAAAGAATAAACACGGAACACGTTCTGAGCAGATTGAATAATTCAGACATGAGATTTAATCGAGATAAGTGTGAATTTAATTGCGAGAAAAGTTCATACTTAGAGAATCAAATATCTAAAGCTTGGATCTCGCCAGATGACAGATTTAATATCAAAATATCAGAAATAAGTACACTAAAAAATAAGAAAGAGGTACAATTTGTCTTGCGTTTGACCAAATATATCGACATGATTTAACCTTTTGCCAACTTGAGAAAGAGTATAACGAATTTCAGTTGAATTAAAAAAAAAAACGAAAAGAAGAACTTAGAAACAAGCTAGTACTTAAGGTATTTGATCCGACAAAAGAATTCACACTAACTACTGTAACTACCGGTCCTGCCATAGCAGCGATCTTATCACAAGAGGAACATCTTATTATGTATTTGTCCAGAAAGTTGATTGCAACGGAGACGAATTATTCTAACATTGAAAAAGAAACGCTGGCAATTGTCTGAAGTACTGAAAGGGCGGGCAGTTTGTTATTTGGTAAGAAATTTCTACTAAAGTCGAACCCGAGGCCCTTAGATTTGATATTCGACTCGAGGAAAGAGTTGCCTAAGGTCAACGTCCTACCAGAATTTCCTGGTGGGAAATTAAGATTATGGCATTCGATTTCGACATTATGTATAGGAACGGAAATGCCATTCCACGCGTAGACGCCATTTTCAACAGTGAATTTTAATACCCGGGATAGTTGGGAGGAGAGACCTTTGGACTTTGGGGCTAGGTAGAGATATGTTATCCATCAGTGGGGATCAAGTTTAAAAAAGAGTACTGAACAGAATACGGAATAATGTATGGAGCAATTGCTCTATGGCAGAAAGGCCTTTTAAGTAAGCAAGGCACCGATTAACAATTTAAAGAGTAGTCATATGTAGTTAAGATCTTATTTTACTACCGAAATCGTTAAAAAGTTATTAAACGACGACATACATGATGATGTATTAATAACAGAACTAGGGTTAAAACTACAAGTCTAGTGGTCGGAGTATACGCAAGACGTGGATGATTATATCATGAAATGCCCTAAGTGTTCCCTAAGTGTGTTTTAGGTAAACTAAAATTCATACATGCTAAAAGAGAAGGAGCTAGAGATAAAAGGAGGCATGGCTCATGCATACATTAAAGATGCAAGACTATTACTCATAATAGTAGGCTTATATTCAGGTTGGACAGAAATGCATGTACTGTAAAATAGGTGTTAAGAGTAGTATTTTCGAGGAACGGAAAGTCTAAGACATTGGTGTCGGATAATGCACCAGAGTTTGCTGGAGAAAGCTTGTGTACATGTCTAACATAATTTCGATGTAGGCCATACAAAACATCTCCATCTCATCAGTAAAATAGAATTGCTGAGAGGATGGTGAGGACGATAAAAGTTGGACTGAAAGCATTCTCTCGAGGAAATTGCGGCCTGGTAATTATCTACCAAGATTGCTTTTAAGTTACAGGACCATCCCGCATCCGGGCAGAACACAACGCCCTTCTGTATTGATGGGAAGGCAAATTAAACCCCCAACAACCATGTCCTGTTCAACAAATGATGACATAAAAAGAAATAAGGATCCGAATGCTGCGAAAACAAAATTTGAAGTAAAAAAAGGAATTACCACAGCGATGTTGAACAGTGCGTGTTAATTCATGAAGACCAGTTTAGATTGCAAAGAGAACCGGAAGATATTGAAATGGAAGAAAAATCTGGTGCAGAAGATAAGGATCAGGATTATTACCAAGAATTGGAGAATTAAGGGGACGAGAGAATGTGTATGTCTAGTTATAATAAAGAAAATGAGAACGGTTCAAATGAAAAAAAAAACATAAAGAATCAAGGCAATCACCATGAGACAAGTGGTACGCCTCCTGGAGTGGTTCGTATAAGTAGCAGATCTACCAAGGACATAATTCCTTTAAGGTTCCGGGAAATGAAATGTGGTTTTATGAAAATTAGATTTTATGCAAGTGGGACGCTTTCTACACTAGTGTGATGAGTTATCTTTCTTTGACTACACTGCGTAATGGTGAGAAATTTACACGACACAACACTTAGATAGATAGATAGATAGATAGATAGATAGATAGATAAAGAATGAACTGTAGCATATAGATAAAGAATGAATTGTGCTGTAGTATATATCATGTCATCCCATAAGTCCTGTCCGAATTTTGAATAAACAAGTGACCAAATGTTACATTTAATTACAGATTCAATCAACAATGTATTTTCCCTGATTATCTATGACTTCCTTCCATCTATTAACAAGCTTACTAATTCCATTACTGTAAAATTATTTTGGCTGTGATTCGAAGTACTCACAAATGTCAGTTTTAACCTCTTCCTGTGTTACAAAAGCTGTTTCTTCCAAATAATTCTGTAAGCGACGAAACAAATGCTAGTCTGAAGGAGCAAGATCGGGAGAATAAGGTGGATGAGGAATTTTCTCCCAACCAAGTTCTTCGATCTTTTGTGAAGTGATTCTTGCTGTGTGGGGTCGCGCATTGTCCTGATGAAACATCATCTCTTTTCGATTCACAAGAGCAGGTCTTTTTTCCTCAAATCTTGGTTCAAATGCTCTAAATGCATACAGTATATTTGAGCCTTAATTGTTGCATTAGGTGGTAAGAATTCAAAGTGGATTATTCCTTGGCGATCCCACCAGATTGAAAGAAGAACCTTTTGCCCATGAAGTTCCCTTCTCGGCTGTGGCTGGGGTCCTTCCCCTTTACCAAGCCACTGTCTACGATGCTTAACATTTCAATAAAAGATCCATTTTTCGTTGCCATTCACAAGTCTATCCAAAAAAGGTGAAACAAGTTGGCGAGAATGGAGAGAAGAGCAGATGTCAACTCGGGATTTGAGGTTGTTTTCAGACAATTCATGAGGCACCCATTTTCCAAGTTTAGGAACATTTCCAAGTTGTTGAAGATGACGATAAACAGTTGTATGGTTTGACCTGAGAACCACTGCCAATTCCTCAGCTGATAAAGCAGGATTTTCTTCAAGGGCTGCTTCAAGAAGCTTTTCATCAAACTCAACTGGACGTCCGGTTCGATCTTCATCTTCAAGGGTGAAATCTCCACCTCTGAATTTTGCAAACCATCTTCTGCAAGTTCTTTCATTCACACATTCCTCTCCATAAACTGAGTGAATGTTTCTAGCCGCTTCGGCTGCTGAGTTTCCTTTCTTGAACTCATAAAGCATTATGTGCCTCAAATGATTCTTGGGTATTTCCATGTTAGCAGGGTTTTAATCAAACAAAATTTAATTTTATTGATCTCTGAAATAAAATTTGATTAGTTTAAATGCATCTAAACATAAAAATAATGTTCAGCTCCATTAGACATTATAAAATACTCTTTAAATTTCATTCATTTTAACAAAAAGTTAAAATTCGGACAGAACTTACGGGATGACCTGATAGATAAATAATGAACTGTAATAGATAGATATATAAATAAAGAATGGACTGTGATAAAAAAAAATGAACTGTAATAGATGAAGAATGAACTGTAATAGATAGTGTTGTGGTGTCCTCCCCCTAAAGAGTGTATGTTGGACTCTTCCGCCTACTATAAGTTTAGTAGGAGAGAAGGCCTTGGGGGAACAGTCGTCCGGGCAGGTAGACAGTCCCTGAACTCGGTTAGGCGGGTTCAAAAATGGATATTTTGGCCGAGCCTTCTGGCTCGGAGAACCGATGCTAAACTCGGCCTTGCGCCACATACACACTGGTGTGTTTGGGCAATTAAATATTCACAGTCAACTAGACTCATCTTAACTGTCTAACGCTCTGTCTCGGCAGCGAGAAACCCGGACAAGGCTTTCGTCCGGGGAATTAGTCAGGCCCTGAACACGTTTGGGCAGGTTTTAAGGCAATATTTTTGGCCGAGGCTAAGGGCCCGGAGAACCCACGGTAAACTCGGCCTTGTGCCACATACATACCTTGTGAGGGGGGAGGGGCTGTTAAATATAACAGTCGCATAGATTGAACGCTGGGTCAACCGACAGACACTCACTAGTCATGTAATATACTTCTGTTGTACTTATTGTTTAATATATGATATATCTGCAACGGTTATTTTGTTATTTCTTTAACCATTTACTTGGACACTGCAGATAGAAAAATAATTATCAGTAATAGATAGATAGATAGATAAAGAATGAAATGTACTAGATTATTTCTTAGTTCCTAACGAAATTTTTCTGTTTCTTAACACTTTGCTTAGCTTTTGGAAGGCATTAGCATTTTATCAGAAAGCATTCTAAAATATTTTAGTAATAATATATTTTTTCATGTTAATCGTTTCAAGATGTTTTACTGTACACCCTCAGCAACCCATGAAATAATAATATATGAGATTATTGAAAATTTTCATAGAGAGAACGTGACTTTTTCGACTGCCGTATGATAGATTTAAGATTAAAGGCGATGTTTTACCAAAAGTACAATAAACAATGTTTGTGCCAGTGAATATGAATAGTTAAGTTAATAATGGGATAATGAAACCAGAATCATTTTCTTACCGCAAGTTCTATGCTAATAGTCTCTACACCCACATGTCTCGCATTTAGAATTCTCTTCCTGATTCTTGGTTTCTTGTCATCTACAATCTTCAAAAATGTAAATGCAAGTGTCAACCTTTGTCTTCACTCTCCTTGGAACGTTTTTATTAATTGTCCTTCCTTTTCCGCTCACTTTTAACAGACTCTTCTTTCTTTTTCCCGTTTATCACATTGCTTGAGGTGAAATGTTGCCAACATCCTATCTTCGCTACAACAGATACAGTCTTCAGTTTATGCACGGTCAGATTTCAAATTTGAAGCTTAACCCTTTGAATCCTGCATTCTTGAACAATTTTAACCCTTTTAGTTACTGAGTCAACCGATGAGTTTAAAGGTTGTACCTTCAACTCGAAAATCAGCACACATATATATATATATATATCTGTGTGTGTGTGTGTGTGTGTGTGTGTGTGTGTGTGTGTGTGTGAGAAAATATATAGAAAATAGGAAGGAACTGGTTAGGTAAATAATCCAAAGTTCCTTAGTATTTTAGATCTTATTTTTTAAAAATAGTGCTCGATACAAAAGTAGAGCATAAATATAATTATTTATTTAAAAATATGATTCCAACTCGCGACATAAGAGGTCTCATGTTTCAAAACAAGAGACGAAAACTTCAATATAATTATTTGAATTAAATTGAGTTAAAGTAAGCTGTGTTTCATCTTCAAGCGAAGTTTTTTTGTGGGGAATAACTTATTTCTGAAATTTACGTGTTTTAATAATTGAAATAAAAATTTCCATGGCAACAGCTAGGGCGAAATTTTTAAATTGGGTAGGCGTGTGTTGGGTGTTAATAATAAGTATCAGTATAGAGTTACTTTCATAGATTTCATATATATATATATATATATATATAAATATATATATATATATATATATATATATATATATATATATAAAGTAACAGTGAATAGCACAAATAGTAATACCTTGAAAAGGAATTCACTGTAGGAAATGTCCAGTTTTATATACTAAGGAACAAACTTGTCTAAAGACGCTAACTTCAACTCGGAAATCAGCACACGGGATGCCACAGCCTTGGCAGCGATGGCCAAATTGGCAAGAATATGTAAGAGAAAAATCAACCGGCATGCAATGTTTCACAGTAGATATAAAAAATAGTTACAAGTTTTTGCCCACCGTTCAACTGGTGACTGGGCATTCAGTCACTTTCCTCTACCACTGGTAAAGCGGTGGTCAGGGCTCACTGGTTTAAAAACAATATGTGATTTCATGTTAAAAATAAGATTTTCTCAGATATTAACTTAAAATAACAAAAAAATCTTCAATTACTTATAAAGTCTTTGATATCATCAATATTGACACTTCTTTATGTAAAAAACAGTCCGTAAATTTATCAAAAAGTTAAATATTGTAAAGATGACTCTAAACATAGTAAACCATTGTAAGTTATTTATCTGTTTGTTTAATTATTGTCTAAACTATCAGCTATTTACAAGCATGTTCTATAACAATATCAATAATGTTGATTATGGCAAGGATTGTCAGCACTTCCGGTTCCATGAGGGAATGGCACTAGGAAAACGCTCTATGGAGAGTTTGAATAAAATAGTTGTTGAATTTAGCACGTATTGTGTCATTTTTTATGATGCTTCCCATTTTCAGTGTTCAGACTCATATAAATTATCGATCACTCTTTAAACTTATTTTGAGAATAAATCCGTTTTGGTATATATATGTATGTATGTTTGTATGTATGTATAAAGTAACGGTGACTAGCACAAACAGTAATACCTTGAAAGGGAATTCACTGTAGGAAATGTCCAGTTTTATATACTAAGGAACAAACTTGTCTAAAGATGGTACCTTCAACTCGGAAATCAGCACACGGTATGCTGCAGCCTTTGCACCGATGGCCAAATTTGCTAGAATATGGAGGAAAAAAATCAGCTTTCAAACCAAGTACAGACTGTACAAAACGCCGGTAAACTGCATTCTCCTGTATGGGTTTGAAATGTGGACAATGTTGGCAGATACAGAGAGAAGGATCCAAGCGTTTGTGAAAGCTCCTTGGCATTTTCTATTGGGAACATGAAAACAACGAGTTTGTGCTGATAGGTTTGAAAGTTTTGTGGGCCACCAGAAGCCTTTTCTTGCCACAGTCAAACGGAGAAAAATGGCGTCGTTTGAACACGTTATAAGGCACACAGCCTATGGAAAATACTGTTGAAGAGAAGGCCAACGTAAAAAATGGTTGGCCAATCTCAAACAAAGATCAGGTATGGTTATACCAGAATTGCTGATGGCTACCGTTGATAGACCGTTGCGGAGGAGATTTAGTGTGCCATCTGATTTTGATCCCACCCCTACGATTACAAAAGTGAATTAGATAATGATGACGATGATGTTGATGATAAAGGATTATATGAATAACTCATAAAACAAATAGATGATAAAGACAGTAAAAGAAGAAAATAAATTACCTTAGGTAGGGGGATTTTCTATAACAGCATCAATAATGTTGATGATGATCGTAAACACTTCCGGTCTCACAAAGGAAAGTGGGGAGAAAACGATTAAAGCGTGTGTTTGAATAAAAACGTTGTTGAATTTAG